TTTTTTTTTTTTTTTTGAAACGGAGTTTCACTCTTGTTACCCAGGCTAGAGTGCAATGGCGCGATCTTGGCTCACCGCAACCTCCGCCTCCTGGGTTCAGGCAATTCTCCTGCCTCAGCCTCCTGAGTAGCTGGGATTACAGGCATGCACCACCATGCCCAGCTAATTTTTTGTATCTTTTTTTTTTTTAGTAGAGACGGGGTTTCACCATGTTGACCAGGATGGTCTCGATCTCTTGACCTCGCGATCCACCCGCCTCGGCCTCCCAAAGTGCTGGGATTACAGGCTTGAGCCACCGCGCCCGGCCAAAGAACAGTTTCTAAGGACTTATTAAATTAAAAGCAAAGTGCAGAAGATAAAGGTTAAAAAAAAGTGGGGGGACAAAGGTGATGAATATGCATTGCATATTCAGAGGATATAAAAACTGATGAATAGCTAAGAAGCAACTAACATATTTTGGCTCCACAGATGGGAAACTAGGTGACTAAAGGACAAAGTCGGAGATCCTTATTTATAACTTCTGAAGAGTGAATGATGCAAATGTATTACTTCTTATGAAATATATATTTAATTAAAAATTCATTCACAAAAGCAACTAAGACAAAGCATTCTGAACAGGAAAGCCCATCAAAATAATCAGGCCTTAATAATATATTCTTATACGTATCCTAATAAACCAAGTAGATTAAAATGATCTGATGCTTGTTTGTATCAAATTGAGTCCACAAGTATTTGGATGACACAGATTTGTCTCATTTGACACCATGGTACCCCCAGCACATAGCCTAGGTACTCAGAAGAAAAAAAAAATTGTTTTTTGAAGCTGCAATATACCATCTGGTGGTTAGAAATGGACTCAAGTTTTTATACTACTAAATTTCTGTCACTGATAAAACATTGATCAAACTGTGGATTAGCCTCAGTGAGCAGAGCAAAGTTTTATGTGAAAATGTTAGTAAGAATAAAACTTTTCAGACACATATTCAACTTAAGTTGAAATTTTGGGTCACTTTCTACTAAATGTTTAGTACACAATGACTAAAGAAAACCCCACGTCCCAACAGCTTTGCAGTCAAGGAAGAAATAATACCAATCTTACACAACCTCTTCCAGAGCATAACAAGGAAGGAATATTTTCCAACACTTATAAGGCCAGCATAACCTTGATACCATACAAGGATATTAAAAGAAAGGAAAATTACAGGCCAATCTCTCACATAAACCTTGCTACAAAAATCCTAAATAACATACACTGACAGCTCTTATAACTTAATGGTCTCCTAGTCACACAGCAAACTTCTCGTGACTTTTAATGTGTCCCATTACAACAGACTGGCTGCTTGGTAAATACCATTTCTTCTTGGAGACTACTTGAGCAAAAACATCACGAGGCCGAGTCTATCCTATACATTAAACATTTTCTTCTCTCAAGGAATTGCCTAGGAACTCTTCCATATTGTCTACTAACATTTCTTGCTTGATTCTTTTTTTTTTTTTAAACAAAATTACTTTTAATACTCTGGGGTGAGTCCCACAGAAATAAAAAACATTGGGAGGGGGTAACCCCCTCACCCCCAGGAGTGGCCCAGGGGAAAAGAGGCTACCTGAGGGGAAGGAGGCACAAAAGAGACCCACTGCAGACTCAAGGCAAAGGGAATGCCATCGGCGCTGGGACCTGTGAGCCCTACGGGAGGAAACGCGAGCATGGTGGGACTGGTTCTAGGCAAACAGGCAAAGGGCAAGAGGGCTGGACATGTAGCCACAAAGCTAGTTAGGTTCTTCCTTCTTCTTGTTTGCCTTCTTCTGCTTCCGCTGCACAATCTCGGACCCTGGGGGTAGAGATGATGAGGCACTCTGCTTGCCAGTGGCAACAAAAAGCCTGTCATCTCGGCGCCTTCCCTGAGTTGCTCTGCTTTTTCGTATTTTTCTGGCGGGTGAGTTCACGCTGGTTACTGCAGGTCGTGGCAACAGACACAGCTCTAATTTTTTGTTTACAAATGTATACGCTCCTTCAGACTGACTGCCACAGGAGTAGGGGACGTATCCTAGTCATCTATGTGTCCTTAATGCCTAACACAGCATCTGGCACAAAGTGCATGCTGAAAAAATACCGAACCATTTCTACATATGCTGAGTAGTTCCTCACTGAGGCAGAAAATTAACTATTTAAGATAAAAGACAATAGAGAAGTCCTACTATTAATTTCCCTTTAGATTACTTAACTCTTCTTTTTTTTTTTTTTTTTTTTAATCCCTGTCTTACTATGTTGTCCAGGCTGGTCTCAAACTCCTGGCCTCACACAAACCTACTGTCTCAGTCTCTCGAGTAGCTGAGACTGCAGGCAAGCACCACACCTGGCTCAAGACTGCCCAATTCTTCTATCAGGCTAGCACAGCACTGAAACAGAACCAAGGATATTAGAGAGAGGAAAATTATACACCAATCTCTCTAACAATGCCTTAGTTCAATCCAATCTTCTCAGCTACCTGTTAATATGACTGCATTAACTTATTTCTATATTTTCTGCTTTTACTTTTTCCCTCCAGCTTTTCTGTATTTCATTCTCTAACTTTTGAGTTGAACTTACTTCATTTAAATCTTTTTTTGGAAGACTTAAGTCAATAAATTTACCCTTAAGTCCTGCTTCACCTGCTTGCCACACGTTTTGAAATAGTATAGTTCATGACTCTTTTCTTCCAAAAAATGTGTAATTTCTTTTTTTCTTTTTTTTTTTTTTGAGACGGAGTTTTGCTCCTGTTACCCAGACTGGAGTGCAATGGCGCGATCTTGGCTCACCGCAACCTCCGCCTCCTGGGTTCAGGCAATTCTCCTGCCTCAGCCTCCCAAGTAGCCGGGACTACAGGCACGCGCCACCATGCCCAGCTAATTTTTTGTAGTTTTAGTAGAGATGGGGTTTCACCATGTTGACCAGGATGGTCTCGATCTCTTGACCTCGTGATCCACCTGCCTCGGCCTCCCAAAGTGAGCCACCGCGCCCGGCCAAAATGTGTAATTTCTATGGTGACTTAAACTCATGTGCTATTTAGGAATATATATTTTTATGTTTCCAAATACATATTTTAAATTTTAAAGATAATTTCCATAAACATAGAAAAGTAGAAAAATTAATACACATAATGAATCCTTGTGTACTCATCACTTTCTTCCCCATGATCAATACGTGGCCATTCTTTACCTCTATCCTCAATTACTTTTCAGCTTCAATTATTTTCGAGCAAACAATATAGCATTTACCCATAATTTCAGTATGTATTTCTAAAAAGGTGGGGCCTCCTTTAAAAAAAGAAAAATATAATTACAATACCATGATTACATTATCAAAATTTACCAATTCCTTAATATTATCACAAGTCCATCGCATGTCTACATTTTCCTATCAAGAGAATTATTATTATTTTTACAATTGGCTTGTTCAAAACAGAATCCAAACAAGGTCCATACATTATTTTTCATTCATAATCCAAGACTTCTTTAATAACACGGTTCTGTGGTTTCTGAATCATCAGGAGTACCTAGCAATGTTTTAGAAATGTAAATTCATAGGCCCTAACCCAGGGCTAATGAATGAGAAACTACAGGATGAAGCCAGTAATCTTGTGTTTTGACAAGCCCTCCCAGTGACTTTTGATGCATGCCTGCGCTCTGAGGACCACTGTTTTAATACACAGGTTCCTCCTTTGTTTTTTCTTTGGCATTTATTGGTCAAAGAAACTGTCATGTGCCCCATGAAATTTTCTACAGCCTAGACTTTGCTGATGGCATCCTCACAGTCTATGTAGCATACTTTTCCATTTCTTGATTTGCTGTGAACAACTTTGATATAGAGGCCTGATCACAATTTTTGGCAAGAATACTTCACTAGTGGCACTGCATGAAAAGAGAAGGCACAAGATGACTGTCTTCATAAAGATGAATCAGTGGTGCAGATGTGGTAAACTTATTGCATCCATTTTAAAAGTTACTTTCACCAAGGGTTTTTAGCAACCATTGATTTTTTTTTTCCACCTAAACCCATTATTTCATTAGAGGTTACAAAGTGATGGTATCATTCCTTCCTGTGTATTATTTGAAGTTTTAAAAATAAAAATTTTCCCATATTAAGTATTTGATTACCCTGAAACATAATTTGTACAGGTAAGGCACAGAATAAATGTCTGATTCACTCCCTTTTTACGTATATTTTCAGGATGATGAGCTGGTCCCATAGAATCCTCCCAAAGGCAGCCAGTAAGGGTTTTTTAAAAAAAACCACTTTGATACTCTGCTACCTCGAGCAAAGGGAAAAAAAAAATCATTATAAAATCACAGATTTTTAAATACGTTTATGATGTGTTTCAACTCAGCACAGTTATTCTGATCAATGCTCCAAGTGTGCCACATTTTGCCAGGGTCGGCCCTTCAAGTTGGGTCCTTGTGCTATGGCTACAACGGGCTTGGCCTGCTTCCTTGTTTGCTTTTATAAAAGTGATGTTCCAAGGTCATCTATTATATTCCCTGCCCCAAATTTTAGTCAGCCTTTGTTGAAGAAACTCTCATTTGAGTGGGAAATGGTATTTAGAGACATTATTCTGGGTACTAGGGGTACCCATTATTATTTTGTTGCTTTTATTG